CTGCTCTCACCCCGGCCCCCAGCTCGGCCCCAACCCTGCCCTCGGGGGTCACGTGGCCGAGGGGTGGCCTGGGGACACGTGCCTGGCCCCGCCCCTCCGGCCTGCGGGCGCAGATCTCCAGCTCCCGGGCTCTCCCGGCCCAACCCCACCCGGTCCCAGCCCCGGGACTGGCCACGCTCTGGGGTGCGGGGAGGAGCCGGAGCCCCATCACCCCGCGGCCGGCGCCGCGCGCAGACGCTCCCGCTGTTCCTGGTCTCGGGTCCCCGCCGCCCGGGCGCGCAGCCCTCCCTCCGGGCCACTCCTCAAGGACCTACAATGGTTCCCGGGCTTTCCGCGTCCTGACTCTTACCGGATTGTTCCTGCAGGTCAGCGGACACTCTCCTGCCCCTCAGCGGCCCTCCGGCCATCACTCCTTCCTGAGCTCCCCGCTCCATGCCTGTCCCTGTGCAACACCCTGCCTGGTGGGAAGGGGGGCAGACCCCAAAGCAAGCGGTCGCCTTACTCTCTGAGTGCTTACCCCAGGCGGACCCACCTTTGGCCCAAGTCTCCAACCCCAGCCTCTCCTGCCTATGAGCACCCCGTCCACCCTTGCTTTTGGCCACAGTCTTCTCTCTGGGGGAGTGCCTCCCCCTGCCCCCTACACACACCTGGCTGGCCCCACATTTTCTGCAAAACCTTTCCCTGAACCCCAGACCGTTCGCCTCTGCGTCCCTCAATCTCTCTGTCCCCCTGCTAACTATCCTGAGCGAGCTCTGACCATTGCATTGACCTCAACTTCAACATGGGACTGGATCCAGGGAGAGCATAACCCTGTCTCTCCTGTGGGACAATGGCTCCCACCCTCCCTGTCCACAGGACCACTGGGGGGGTTGGAAGGAGATGCTTCTCTTCTGGATGCTTCCAGAACTCTAGGCACTAGTCTTCCAGGCCCACAGAGCCAGCGTCCCAGGCTTGGGTTTGTCAGGTCTTCATCTGGGGACACACACTGGGATGGGCAAAAATAGGCTTACAGTTATGAGTATGCGAAATAGTTTATTCTTGTATTATTATTAATTATTGTATTATTATCCATACAAATAACTGTAAACCCAATTTTGTCCAGCCATGTATTTCATTCATTCATTCATTCATTCACTCCATTCATTCATTCAACCACCCCTTCTGGGTACAAAACCAGGGACTGTACAAGGGCTGGGGACCCAAAGTAAATAGCTAGATACAAGCTCTGTCCTCCTGGGGCTCCCATATAGTGGGGAGATGGGGGTACCAGGACATAGTCTCAAGGACCTCCACTTCCAGGGCCACCACTTGCCGAGGACACACCCACCTTGCTCAGTGAGTGATATCTTTGTTCAAAGTAGAAAACAATATTTCTTTCCTAGGTGGGCACGGCTCACACCAAGGTCCAGGACTTGGTGAGCGGAGAGCAGGTTGGATTCCTCACCTTGCTCACTTGTTCCCTTGGCCAGGACCTTATACAGTGAACCGCCTGGGCATCCCTTCCAACCTCCCAGAACCATTCGGCCCAAGCCTCCCATACCCTTCACTCTGCAGGGCAATTGTTTCCATTACTGTGGTTTTTCAAGGACAGGGACCAGCTCCTTCCTGGCGCTGTGTTGCTCCATCCACCCCAGCCCAGTCTTGAGCAACTGCTGTCCTCTTGGCCCTTGCTCTGTTCACTATTTAGGGGAAGGCGGAGAAGATGACACTAAAGGAGCCCAGGACGGGAGCCTTGCCGTCCATCTTCACAAGCCCAGGCAGGAGATAAGACCTGGTCTAGTCAGGCAACCCAGACTGGTGGGAGATAAGGGGTGGGGGCTGTGCAGCCCAAGGCCGTGGTTCCAGAGGGAGAATCCTCAGTATGGGAAGCCTGGGGGCTGTGGAGGTCCTTGAGCAAGGTCTCAAAGGACAAGTGTGGGGTCACCATTCTGGGAGCATTGACACCCCATTTATTAACCAAAAACATCCCATCATATATTTATCCAGTTATCTTGGACTCACAGGCTTTACTAGCTTTCCCCACAGCCTTATAAGCTCTTCTCCTCAACTGAAAGGATAGCCTCAGAGAGGGTAAGGAATCTGCCTGATGTCACACAGCCAGAAGTGGTAGGGCTGAGACCCTTTATACCCGTTTTCTGAAAAGACAGCCTAGAAACCAGAGGACTCACTGGAAGCTGCATCTGCATGCAGTCAGGCAACAAGGGATGCCTACTAGGTGCCTGGGAGAAATATAAAAAGGTATGTCCTCTGCCCCCAAGCCACTAGCCTGCCCAAATCTCCCTCCCTCCCAACTTCCCTAACCATCCCCATCCCCAGCTTTGGCCATAAACCCTTGGCTGGAAGGAGATGTGGAGCAGAACTGCCAGCCTGGGCCACCCAAGCCCTGACTCTGTTTTCAGTCCACTGTGTGACCCAGGATGAGTGTCTTTGCCTCTCTGAGCCTCAGATCCTATGGCTGTATAACCACCAAGTTACACAAGACAATCAGGGCCACCCCCTTGAACACTGACCTTGTAAGAGGCTCATGAAATTCCTCATAGTTCCAAGCCAGTCCCCTGTCTGGAACTTGGCGTCTCAACCCCGCCCCTAAACTCCCTTAGAGTGGCAAGATTCCCTCCTCCCCTTCATGTCCCAGGTCACTAGCTCACCTGTCTGTGTCCCAGGACTCCTCTCCCAAGTTCCCTTCAAGTGCAGAGCCCAGACCAGATGGGGCATAGCGAACAGTCCCTGAGCTCATCGCCAGGTACTCGGGGCATGTCCCTCGGGCAGGGCACCTGGAGCATTCCTCAGGGGGGTTCATGCTTGGAGGGCCAGACCAAGGGTCCCTCTGGAGACTGCCAGGAGGGCAGGTGACAGAAGCCTTGTCCCCACCCCCAGGCTCACACTAACCTTTGCTATCTCTGAGAAGCAGCTGCCTGGGAGGGAGGAGCCTCCCAGACAGGCCTCTATCTCCTTAAACCCATAATTATTAACTCCTGTGGCTCAGCAGGCAGCAGAAAATTCTGGGGCCCTCCTTCCTGCGCTCTGGGTCTGGGAAGGTGAGTCCTTGAAGGGAGGTGGGAGCCTCCTCTACATGCCCAAGGCCCCAGGCTTCAACTAGGCACACAGATGGGGCTGCTTATTCCCTACATGCCCAGGTGGGCAAGTTGGAAAGAGCCTGTCTAGCCCTAGCTTATCACTAGCTGGTGTGTGGCCTTGGGTAAGGCTCCCTGACTTCACCACCCTAACCCCTGGTCTCAATGTCCCCTTCAAACTTTTGACCACCAACCAAAAGGGGACAACTCAGTAAAGCAGTTAGGAACACAGGCCTGGAGTCAGGCTGAATTCAACCCCACTTCCAGGCTATGAACCTCTGGACATGTTAGTCTCTCTGTGCCTCAGTTTCCCCAAGTATAAATTAGAATCTCGCCCTGTAAGGCACATCAGGCCAGCTGTTACTGCCCAGTTATGCCCTACAACCTCCCTTTGCTCACATTAACCCCTTTCTGCAGCTTCCACCCCATCCCACCCTGCTGATAAATTTCTCCTTTGCTCATACCCCCTTCTCCAGGAAGCCTTTCTCTGAATTTCTTTTTTTCTCTGCAGGCATCAGGCTCTAGCCCTCAGACACACCGTCTGCTTTGTGTCATGGTGAGTGTCCCATGGTACTGTTGGACACCCCTGTAAGAACTGAGTGACCCAGGGCAGAGGCTGGCTCACACTCACCACCAAATCCTCAGTGCCCCCTCGCCTGGCACATGACCAGTCTCAATCCACCCAGGAGAGGTTGAATATTTCACCCTGTCTCGTTTGTCCTGAATTCTAAGCCTAGTTCTGCCATTCCCTGGCTGTGTGACTTTGGGCAAGTCACTTGACCTCTCTGGGACTCAGTTCCCTCATCTGTAAAATGGGAACAATTCTCCCCTGTGACGTTGTGAACATCTAATTCGGTAATATTTGTGAAGAGTCTGCCTCAGCGGAGACTGGGACGAGCCTTTCCTGTCCTCTTCGCCCCGGCCTTCCCTCTTCTTTCCGGTCAGCCTCTGAGTTCCCACTGGGGAGAAGCTGCCAGTTCCTGACTAGCAGTCACACCCTGCCCGCCCACCCGCCTGCGGATAACAATATCTCCCACTCAGGCTTCGGCTCCGAAGTGCTCTCAGCCTAATGCGAACCAGATGCTGGCCTCCCTTTCCTGGCAGTGAATTTTCCATGGCCTGCTCCCACCCCCTTCCTGTTTTTGCTCCTCACGGATCCCCTGCTAAATTCTTCTGTGCCCCCACCACGTCCTCTGCAGGGCAACCTCTGGGCCCACCTGGAAACAATTAATGAAAACAGGATGTGTGAAAAAGCGGGGGGTCTCCCCATCATCCCAACATGGCAGGAGGGGAAGGGGCTCAGTCCAGCTGGTGACAAGTATATGTCAGATAGTCCTTCCCTGCCAAGCCCCAACCAATG